ATTGATCTGGCCAGTGCTTTTTTCTCAATATACCAATTTCAGAAGAGCATCAGAAGCAGTTTGCCTTCATCTGGCAAGCCAACAATATACTTTCACATATTGTCAGGGGTATGTCAGCTCCCCAGCACTATGTCATAATTTGGTCCATAGGAATCTTGATTGGCTTTCCCTTTCACACTGGTTCATCATATTGATGACTATGTTAGACTGGGTTCTCTAGAGAAGCAAAACCAGTAAAGTTTATATAGATAGAGAAAGAGAAATTTATCTTAGGAAAATGAATGGCTCACACATTATAGAAGCTGGCAAGTCCCAAGTTCTTGGATTGAACGTCAAGCTGGAGGCTTTTCCTGACTCATGCAGCTGTAGGGGCTGACGAGCTCAAGGTTAGCAGGCAGTATACTGGCCGTTGACTCCAATGAATGACGAATCCAAGATCTCCAGTCCGAATGGTGGATTGTTCACTCACAGACAGTTGTAGGCAGCACAATAGAATCCTGATCCACAGAAGAGTGTCTCTTTTCTCAGGATGTCCATAAATATACTGGAAGCAGGCCACACCTCTAGGGAAACTCCCTTTCAATGGATTGGCTGCTTAAAACATATACATCTGATCGCATCATTGGAACAATGACATTATGCTGATTAGACCTAGTAAGGAAGAAGTATTGATGACTCTAGACTTACTGGTGAGACATCTGTGTGCTAGAGGGTGGGAAATTAACCCAACAAAAATTTGGGCACCTTCCACCTCAGTGAAATTTCTAGGGGTCCAGTGGTGTGGGGCATGTTGAGATATTCCTACTAAACTGAAGGATAAGTAACTGCATATGGCTTCCCCCACAACTAAAAAGGAGGCACAATGTCTGGTGGGCCTCTTTGGATTTTGGAGGCAACATAGCCCTCACGTGGGTATGTTGCTTCAGCCTATTTAAGTGACTTGAAAAGCTACTAGTTTTGAGTGGGGCCCAAAAGGCTCTGCAGCAGGTTCAGGCTGCCGTGCAAACTGCTCTGCCAATTGGGCCATATGATCTGGCTGATCCAGTGGTGTTTGAAGTGTCTGTGGCAGATAGAGATGCTGTTTGGAGTCTTTGGCAGGCCTCTATTGGTGAATTGCCATGCAGACTCTTGGGATTTTGGACGAAGCCTGTCATCCTCTGCAGATAACTACTCTCCTTTTGAGAAACAGCTTTTGGTTTGTTACTGGACTTTAGTAGAGACTGAATGCCTAACTTTGGTGGCCTATGACTTGGGCCACCAAGTCACCATGAGGCCTGAGCTTCCCATCATAAACTGGGTGTTGTCTGACCCACTGAGTCATAAAGTTGGACATGCACAGCAGCACTCTCTCATTAAATGGAAGTGGTATATAAGAGATTGGGCTTGAGTAGGACCTGAAGGCACAAGTAAGTTGCATGAGGAAGTGGCCCAAATGCCTGTGGTCTCCACTCCAGTCACATTACCTTCCCTTTCCCAGTCTGCACCTATGTCCTCATGGGGAGTTCTTCATTATCAGTTGATTGAGGAAGAGAAAACTCATGCCTGATTTACAGATGGTTCTGCACAATATGCAAGCACCACTTGAAAGTGGACAGCAACAGCACTGTAGCTCCTTTCTGGGACTTCCCTGAAGGACAGTGGTGAAGGGAAATCCTCCCAATGGGCAGAACTTTGAGCTGTGAATCTGACTGTTCATTTTGCATGGAACAAGAAATGACCAGATATATGACTGTATATGGATTCATGGGCTGTGGGCAGTGGCTTGGCTGGATGGTCTGGGACTTGGAAGGAACATGATTGGAAAATTGGTGACAAGGATGAATGGGGAAGAGGTGTGTGGATAGATCTCTCTGACTGGGCCAAAGGAATAAAGATATTTTTGTCTCATGTGAATGCCCACCAAAAAGTGACCTTGGCAGAGGAGGACTTTAACAATCAAGTGGATAGGATGACACATTCTGTGAAAACCAGCCATCCTTTCTCCCCAGTTACTCCTGTCATTGCCCAATGGGCTCATGAATAAAGTAGCCATGGTGGCAGTGATAGAGGTTATGCATGGGGTCACCAACATGGACTTTCACTTTCCAAGGCTGATTTTGCTACCACCACTGCTGAACACCCAAACTACCAGAAGCAGAGACCAACACTGAGTCCACAATGTGAAACCAACCATTCCTTAGGGTGATCAGCTGGCAACCTGGTGGCAAGTTGATTATGTTGGACCACTTCCATTATGGAAAGGATAACATTTTGTTCTTACTGGAATAGATAATTATTCTGGATACGGATTGGCCTTCTTTGCATGCAGTGCTTCTGCCAAAACTATCATCCATGGACTTACAGAATGCCTTATCCACCATCATAATATCCCATACAGCATTGCTTCAGGTCAAGGGGCTCACTTCACAGCAAATGAAGTGTGGCAATGGGCCTCATGGAATTCACTGGTCTTACCATGTTCCCCACCATCCAGAAGCAGCTGGCTTGATAGAACGATGGATTGGCCTACTAAAAACACAGTTACAGCACCAGCTAGGTGGCAATACCTTCAAGAGTTGGGGCAGTGTTCTCTAAGAGGCTGTATGTGCTCTAAACCAGTGTCCAATATACGGTGCTGTTTCTCCAATAGCCAGGATTCACAGGTCCAGGAACCAAGGGGTAGAAATGGGAGTGGTACCACTCACTATTACCCCTAGTGACCCACTCAAAAAATTTTTGCTTCCTGTCTCTACTACCCTATGCTCTGTGGGTCTGGAGATCTTAGTCCCAAAGGGAAGAACACTTGGGTCTGGAGACACAATACTGATTCCATTCAATTGGAAGTTAAGAATGCTACCCAGCCATTTTGGCTTCCTCATGCCTCTGGATCAACAGACAAACAAGTGAGTTACTGCACTGGCTGGTGTGATAAATCCTGATTACCCAGGGGAAATTGGATTGATATTGCATAATGGAGGTAAAAAAGAATATGTCTAGAATACAAGAGATTCTTTAGGATGTCTCTTAGTACTACCGTGTCCTGTGATTAAACTCAATGGAGAACTACAGCAACCCAATTCTGATATGACAACTAATGGCCCAGACCCTTCAGGAATGAAGGTTTGGTCACCCCACCAGGCAAAGAACCACGACCAGCTGAAGTGCTTGCTGAGGGCAAGGGAAATACAGAATGGGTGGTGGAAGAAGGTAGTTCTGAATATCAGCTACGTCCACGTGACCAGCTGCAGAAACGAGGACTGTGATTGTTATATTTCTTCATTGTATAAGTGCATCAAATATTTTTGTTTTTTCAGTTATGAACTTTGAAATGTAAATAGGGTTAATATGTTTCAGTTGTACACATGTTAGTGTATCATCTTAGGTGCAAATATGACTTTATTATTGTCCTTATTTAGAGATTATATATGGTTAAGGAGATGTGTACAACTGCCAAGTTAACAAGGAGTGGTCTGTGATAGTTGGAGTTTGTGTCAACTTGGCTGGACCATGATTCTGAGTGGTTTAAGGAGTTGTGATATGGTTATTCTCATGATGAGATCGGATGTATATGCTTTGAGCAGCCAATCTGTTGAAAGGGAGTTTCCCTAGGGTGTGGCCTACTTCCAATATATATATGGACATCCTGGGAAAATGAGAGAATCTTCTGTGGATCTGGATCCTGTTGTGCTGCCTATAACTGTCTGTGAGTGAAGTCCACCATTCTGCCTGGTGATTTTGGATTCATCATCTGCATGAGTCAACAGCTGGTATACTGCCTGTCAACCTTGAGCTTGTCAACCCCTGCAACTGTGTGAGTCAGGAAAAGCCTTCCAGTTTGACGTTTGATTCAGGAACTTGGGACTTCCCAGCTTCTATAGGGGTGTGAGCCATTTTCCTAAGATAAATTTCTTTCTCTTTGTATATATATAAGCTTTACTCGTTTTGCTTCTCCAGAGAACTCAGCCTAACACACTGACAAACCCAAGGTTGATAAGTAAAAAGGCAGTCCCGATGTTACCATACAACACAGCAGGCCACTAATCAAGTCCAGAAAAAGTCCCAAGATTGGCACGGTATGGCAGGCTGCTGAACAACAACTCGGCTACATACATGGTTCTCAAGCATGCCAAAAAGCTAGAGACCTTACTCAAAGTTGCTTCTTATATACTGGAAGCAGCCCATGTCCCTAGAGCTGAGAGCTGCTCTAATCGATTCCACCATGGAGTTAATTACCAATCTCACCATGGGGAGAACAATGAATAAGGAAGACCAAAGAAGAGTTGATGCTTTTGAACTGTGGTGTTGGAGAAGAATGCTAAGAGTACCATGGTCTGCTAAAAGGACTGGCAAATCTGTCCTGGAAGAAGTACAGCCAGAATGGTCCTTGGAAGAGAGAATGGCCAGACATCGTCTCACCTACTTTGGTCATGTTGTCAAAGAATTTCCAGATGTTCTTATACTACTATTTTTGCTGATATCACTCCTAGCCAATTTAGTGACCCTTCATATTTAGCCATACTTCCTAGTAATCTCCATCTCAGAGAGGAAACCAAACCACAGATGGATATTATAACACATCAAGGCAGTGATGGATCCTGATCCACATGCTCATGAAAAGGAAAGGAAAGCACCTTTATGAGACACTGCTACATAATTCTTGAGCTTTTTTTACTTGCCGTTAGCTCCTAAGCCTAATAAACCAAAAAAAAAAAAAAAAATTACAAATTTATTGCCATCAAGTCGGATCTGACTCATAGTGACCCCTCCTTGGGTTCCTGAGGCGGTGTCACTACAGAAGTAGATTGCCCAACCTTTCTTCCGAGGAGTGGCTGGTGGGTTTGAACCACTAACCTTCTGGTTAGCAGTCAAATGTGTTAGGCACTATGGCACCAGAGCGCCTCCTAAGCCTAATATAGATAGTAAAATCTTGTCCTTCAGTTCCTTTGCCTCAGTTGCCAGTGTGTCTTTATCTCTTTTCCAATCCATGGGTTGTCTCACAGGCTAATTTTTATGTTTTCCAGAAACCCCTTCACCAGCTTCCACTTACAGCCTGTCTTATAGGTGAGTAATGCTGTTCTTCCTTTTACTTGGAATCAGTTCATACTGATGCTGTGCTTGCAGCCTTGGGATTATTGCTCCACTGGCCTGTACAATTGAAGTGTATACTCTGTTTCATAAGCAAGAGAGGAGGTTGAATAGCACTGTGAATAATCTACATCTGAATTATTTGATTACATTCTCGGTTGCAAGAAAGGATGTTTTTCCTTGGGGACCTTCTCTTAAATAAGTCTTTTTATCTTTCCTTTTCTCTGTTGATGCTCTTATTTTCCCTTCTTAGACCTTCATCTGCCTCCTCTGGACAGGGAATTTTTTCTTTCAGACCATCCCTAAATGATGGGGATTCAGGCCACACAAGAATCCTCAGCCCCAACAATTTAGGTAAGTTACATAACATCCCCTAAAGGAATGGGACTTCAACTACTATGTTGTTGTTTTGTTGTTGTTATGTGCCGCAACTACTACACATTTACTAAAATGAAATTTTTCAAGATGAAAATGAATTAGGATTTGTCCCCAAAGAGTACTGTCTCCAGTTTGGAGCCTTACTATTCGAGTCATCCATTTCCTTCATACTGGCCAAACAGTAAACCTTGAAGGATTGATTCATTGAGGCTCTGGATTTTTCTTGAACAGCATATAGCACCCATCCTGTCACAAGCTGAGTTATCCTCTAAGATTAGGCTGAATTTTTTTTTTTTTTTTGACATCCCTATGTTGAACATGCTGGAGCTCAGTTATAAATGAGGATTATAAAGCCAATATCCTTTTTTACCTCATCTTTTTCAGTTAAGGTACCTCTGCTACCAGTCTTCTTGATAAGGAGCCATCATTTCTCCACTTCACCAAAATTTTTATATTGTCTGTACATCTTTCTACTCACAGTTAAACCTCCAATCTCAGACCTCTCTGTCCTCACAGGAAGAGAACAGACCCACATCTTAAATTGCTTAGCTGATAGTCTTTTTCCCTTTTGAGTGGTGGTCTTCATATTAAGAACTATCTATTTATCCTGACCCTAAGTAACATTCCTGAGGAACTCTCCAGATTGTTACATTTCACATTCCATTCTATCATTCAGGTCAGAGGGAGAGCAGAACCACACTACAGAGTCTTCCTGGTCCCCAGCTACCATTCCTGTAGGTAAGCCCTGAGCAGTCTAATTTGTCTGTGCATGAAAAATTTACAGTTAGTCCTGAACACTAAATGCCTCATTTTAAAAAAAAACAAACCAAACTCACTGCCGTTGATGAGTCAATTCTGACTCATAGTGACTCCTCCTTGGGTTTCCAGGGCGGTATCTCTATGGAAGTAGATTGCCCAATCTTCTTTCTGAGGAGTGGCTGGTAGGTTGGAACCACCAGTCTTCTGGTTAGTAGTCAAATACCATGTTAGGGTAGTAAAATGTAACCAGTGGAGAATGACCTGGGTTTCAAATGTAGTAACCATGTTGTTGTTGTTGTTATGTGCCATCGAGTTGGCCCCGACTCATAGCGACCCCTCCTTGGGTTTCCGAGGCAGTATCACTACGGAGCTCTGGTAGCATAGTGCCTAAGGCACTTGACTGCTAACCAGAAGGCTGGCGGTTCAAGCCCACCAGCCACTCCTCGGAAGGAAAGTTGGGCATTCCTACTTCTGTAGTGATACTGCCTCGGAAACCCAAGGAGGGGTCGCTATGAGTCGGGGCCGACTCGATGGCAAATAACAACAACACTACGGAAGTAGGATTGCCCAACCTTCCTTCCGAGGAGTGGCTGGTGGATTTTAACTGCCAGCCTTCTGGTTAGCAGTCAAGTGCTTTAGCCACTATGCTACCAGAGTTCACAATTTTTCAGAATGGTCTCAGTTTCAGAGATTTTATCCTATCTACCTAGCTCCCTAATTTGGGGTTTAAAAATTAGGTCACATAATGGCAAAGGGGTTTAAATTAAGAGGTCTTCACTAAGTGAAATAAAAATATGTGAAAACAACTGACACTCCCAAATAGTTCCATCACAAAGTATTTTCAATGGAATATATCTTTTGAGTGGAGATTTCTGCTAGAAAACCACTTTGACTTCTTCAGAGTAGCTGGAATCATGTTTTGTAAATTTTTGAGTTTATGATTCTGATCCATGCAACAAGAGGGTGTGGGGATGAGAAGAGAGGTTTGTAAGAAGCTCTATTGAGTGAAAAGTCCAGTCACATCTTTTAAGTTAACTTTCATGGCTTTGGCTTTGAGGATATTTAGGTCCTTTTCTATTCCAGAGGAGCTCTAGTGGCACAGTGGTTAAGGTACTCAGCTGCTAACCAAAAGGTTGGCAGTTTAAACGTACCAGCTGCTCTGTGGGAGAAAAATGAAGCAGTCTGCTTTTGTAAAGATTTACAGCCTTGGAAACCACATGAGGCAGTTCTACTCTGTCTGATAGGGTCACTATGAGTCAGGAATCGATTCAATGGCAATGGTTTGACTTTTTTTGTCTTTTTCCATTCCAAGCTCCTGGTAAGCCCAGGGTCAGCTTCTTTGTATTAAGGTAAATATGTATTTTGCTCCTGTATTCCAAAATGGCCTTTATTTTTGTCAGCAAAAAGTTAAAGAGTCTGAATCCTAGGAAGCAAACTGGGGAAGTAACATTCCTCTCTAAGATCCTCACAAATGGAGAGATTAAACAGATTTAAACAGATTGAAGAGACCTATAAATCAGTTGCCATTAAGTCGACTCTGACTCTTGGAGACCCCATTTGTATCAGGGTAGAACTGTATTTCATAGATTTTAACTATCTGCAAATAAAGGCCCAAATTGGATTAAAACAACTGTAATATATAAGACAGAGAGGAAAATTGAGTAACAACAGGACATTTGATACTAAGGGATTCACTTTTCTTAGGTATGGTACTTTGGTTGTTTTTTTTTAAATAGTCCGTAACTTTTGGGGATACATAATGATATTGTTGTTGTTGTTATGTGCCGTCGAGTCAGACCCGACTCATAGGGACCCCTCCTTGGGTTTCTGTGGCAGTATCACTACGAAAGTAGATTGCCCCATCTTCCTTCTGAGGAGTGGCTGGTGGGTCTGAACCACCAGCCTTCTGGTTAGCAGTCAAGTGCCTTAGCCACTATGCTACCAGCGCTCCTCTATGGATATATGGGGAGGTTAATGGTGTCTCGGTTTTGCTAATAATTTTGTAATAATTATATATTATTTAGTATAATTATTATGGAGGGGAGCAGTGGGAGAGTAGGAATTAAAGATTAGCCATGAGTTATTTATTGAAGTTGGCTGGTGGGGTACATGTGAATTCTTTACTTTTGAAATTTTCCCTAATAAAGTTTTTTAAGTTATTGAAGAAAGTGTTACACATTAAGAACTCTTCGTCCCTGATTATAATCTCTGGTATGGTAGTCATATGTTCCCAAAATAGTTTGATTTTTAAACATTCTGCTTTAAGCCACTGAAATGTTCCAGAGTTTCATCACAACAAAGTCTAGTGTCAAATCTTACTTTGGAAAAGTTATCAAGTGATGGAGAACTGTAGAAAAGTAGCAGCAGTGGTTTATTGCCTCATGAAACTTCCTATTATGCTTGAGAGGACCTTACTTGCATTTTGTTGTTATAAACACCCATTATCTGCCTTCTTGTCCTCTGCTGCAGATGGTCTACCAACAACAGAGGCAGATTGGATTAGCCAGGGGGAGAGAAGCATGGACCATCTCCAGATAGACCATCTTCAAGGTGTGATCTATAGCCACAGCTGAAGGACTGTGGCATCCAATACCGAGCAGGGTGTGATGGCCCTGGAATATGTACCCCTGCTGTTTCTGGGTTCCACTCTGAACCAAGTGATCTTTACCCTATATACCTTGTATCACCTTCCAGGAAAATGGTTAGGCCTTATATAGGGCTAGTGCTTCAGCAAGATGCTTCTATTTCTCCCACAAGACATACATAGCTCATTTCCTGCAACTTGAAATAAAGGTTGTAAAACAATCCTAGCATCATTTGGGGAAGGGAATAATATACTCAACTATGTTTCATTTCTGGGTTTCAGTTTTTACTTTGGATGTACTTTCCCACTGCCAATATTAACAACTCTGTTCCTTGTCTTCTTATTCTCTTTCCATTTACCTATTGTCTCTTACATGCCTGCTTATTAAATACAGGTAGTCTACAATTTATATTTGAGTTGTGACAAACTGCACCTAAGACTGTTTTTTTGTACATCTTATCATTAATGATGCATAGTAGTGTTGCAGCACATAATTTGCTGGTGTTATTCTCAGATGTTCATCTGAAGATGTTCAAAGACTGGCCTTATAAAGATACTGATAATAAAAGGCAGTAATAATGAAAACAAAACAAGTTTTCAACTTTTGTCAGAACCAACTTACAACAGAGTCATCAGTATGGAACCCCATCATAAATTGGGGACTACCTGTATGTTCATTTACCTTTCTATCAAAGTAAGAACAGTTGGAGACTTTCAAAGAGGATGCCCTTTAATTGGTACTGCAGTTCTATTGCTATTACAAGCTCTAGAATGTTAGAATGAGTAAGCACTGCCATTGAGATAAGTCAAATATTTTACTTTCAGTATTAAATGGTAGAAATGAGGGATTAAGTGGGTGGGCCACTGGTGGGCAGGCCTTAAGCTAAGAGTGGAGAAACGTGATACTATGCATTAGTAGGTCTTGGGAATGATCCTACTGCTGATCTAGGATCCTACTACCCTTTCTTAACCCACTGCCATTGAGTCAATCCCGACTCATCACGTACTCGGAATTTATTTTTAATGTCATATCAAGACACATTCTCATTTGGATAAGGTGGAGTTTTTTGTCACTGATGAAGCCTCAGAAATTTTCATCAGATGGTTGGGAAAATTTGCCTGGTGGTAGATGCTAATCTACAGCTTTTTAAAGTTTTTGTTCTTTAAGGTAGTATGTCCTGCTCCTTCAAAAAAAGGAAAAAAAAACTTAAAAAGTATGCTAAGCTGGAAAGACTTTCAGGTTTTAACTGTACATCCAGAGTGAAGACTGAATATTAACTCAGCTAGTTTTACGAAAAATATACGAATTTCCTAACTACTATCCCAAATTACAAATTCTTCTGTAAAGGGCTTGGGTCTGAGCTATATAGTATTTCAAGCTGCCAGTAAATCCAGTCCTCTTGCAGTCTTTGGTAGATATTCCTTTAATTCATAAGTTTTTTTTTTTTTTTTTTTTAAGTATACTAAGTTAAGAGTATTAGTGGATTTTGATCCCTCAATACCTAAACCATATTAAGTAGCAAACTGGAGGACAGAGAAACAATTTATTTTTGGCCTTTTTATTATTCTTCTAGCAATTTGGGACTTCCACTCTTTTTAGATGGTTAATTATCCATTGATATCTATTTGCTTTATATTTGACCCCAACTGTTAAAAAACCATTCTAAAACAATAATTCAGTTAAAGATGATGGTCCCTCTGTTCTTCAGACAGACACTATAAAAGAGGGGAAAAAAAATTCTCTTCTGGACAAAACTGAGCCAACACCAAAGAAATGAAAACTATTCTGTAAAGCTGGGCAGGAGATAGTGTCAGGATTGTAAAACCAAACCTGGAGCCTACCTCCACTGTCCTTCTTACCAGTAGAAGCTATCCCCTCACCTCCACCCTCTCTAACCTAATTCTACTTTTTAAGGACATTTCCCCTAATTTTCACCTCCAATAAATATCCAGTCTAAATTATTCCCCACCTAATTATTAAAACTTTTTCACAAGCTCCATGAAGATTTACCCTGAGACAAACAGTGAACAGAGGATTTTGGAAAAAGATAAAAAGGTACAAGGCAAAGTGGTCCCAGTATCCCAGAATTGAAAACATTGTGCTACCTGTATGACTCAGTAATGAAACAGGTAAAACACAAAGTCAAGTTGTTTTGAGGAAGAGGAAAGATTTGTGAAGAGACTGGGATTTATTGAGATTCTTAGCTGCATTACGTGTAGATTTGTGCTCAGAGACAAAGGAGGGGTGCAAGGCAGCTTCATATTCCAGGGAAAATGGTGGGACTGGCAGATGCACTGGAACCATCAGCTGAATAAAAATTCTTTACTCTTCCTTTCCAGTCTTCCTATAGGTGTAGGGCCAAGGTCTGATCACTATGTAGTACACTAAGGGAAAAGAGCAGCAGATACAAGGAGAGCAAATTGTTTCCCAGCCCATAGTGTGGACCAGATCCTTAGCACTCCCCTCGTTGAGGGTAGAGGCCTGGATTTCTGCCCATCCAATTCCCACCTCACTTTGTGCTGTGTGGTCATCCTCCCTGTCCCACCCTTGCTACATCCCCTTGGCCCCCCACCACCAAGAACACAAAGCTTTTTCAGTTCTTTGCCACAAGGTAAACAAAAAGTGGGTTCTTTGTTGAAACAGTTACTAAATCAGTTAATCTTTTAGTAAGACTCCCCTCCCCCAGCCCCCCACTCAGTCCTGTATGATCACATCATCATCATTGTCATTGTCATCTTCCTCTTCCTCCTCCTCTTCTTCATCCCCATCATCTTCTGGCAGTTCTTCTTCCTCCTCTTCCTCTTCTTCATCTAGACAAACTACCACCTCAGCTGGTTCAGGTAATCGGGAGGCAAACCAATCCAATACCTGCTGGGTGCTAAGTCTTGATGCCTGACTCAGTTGAGGGATATCACTTTCCTGTAGTTGTTGGTGGGCTGCCCAGTACCTCTCCAAAGGCTGTATATCTGGTGGAGGTGGGGGTACGGGCAGAGGTGGTGTCTCGGCCCATTCATTCAAGGAGCAGACCGATGGCAATGGTGTAGGAATTGCTGGGTCTTGGAAACTAGGGGCACCAGGTACTACATTGTCCCGAAACCACTTCAGTTGCCCATGCTTCAAGGCATAGCGTGTGTCACCAAACCACTGAATAATCTCAGACCGAGGTAAACCAGTGATCTGTTCTAACTTATGATAATCTTCACGCCGTGCCCACTGACACTGTAAAAAAAAAGATTTGAGGATAGCCAGCTGCTCTTTGGTTTTGCGCTTGGTCTTTCGCTGGTGGCGTTGCATATCAGGAGAAAGGTACTCCATAGTGCCAACCCTACCTGGTACTGAGTTATGCTGTAGCCCCTGGGGCCAGGCTGGCTCCAGATGAGGGGGTAGTGCCTGCTCATTGGGTGACAGGGACTGTGGGACACAGCCCAGTGCCTGAAGGGGTTTAGAAGCAGCAGTAGCTCCATTAGCTAGTACCTGGAAAGAGGAGGAAGAGGTAGAGGTAGAGGAAGGAGTCATACCAGATGCTGACTCCTTCTTACAACTACTGGCAAGTAATGAGAATGGTGAGGGCTTCTCCCGAGCACGGGGCTGGTGGGCAGCTGTGGAGTGGTTCCAGGAAGCAGTGCCTGAGCCATGTGACTGGCCAGGACCCCTGCCTGCCTGCTCCTTAGAGAGGCCACTACATTGAAGATCCTGCCAAAAATCAGATTGATGAGAGAATGCCCCACTGCCATGTGCCATCAAGGGCTCCTTTACTTTCTGGTGACTCAGTGGCATTGGTGATACCTGAGAGAATTCCTCAGGCTCTACCTTCAATCCTTTCATCTGGGTGGGCTCACTAACAGAAGGAGACACTTCCTCTGGGGGCCGCCCTGCATGATGAGTAAAAGAGAGAAGAGATTTGAAATGGAGTTGGTCCCGATGGTATACTACTCGGGCTCGAGTCTCTTCTATTTCCTCAGATGACCAGCTAATGCCACAGCGGAGGCGCTGGGCCATGAACCAGGTCTTGACTTTCTCCATCTGTAGCCCATAACGTAGGCAGAGAAGGGCAATGTCTGCTAGACTGGGATAGGGAAAGTAGCTGAAGGTTTGTAGCAAGTGTTCATTGTCATCCAGCTCACTGGTCTGGGCTGCTTGGGTCCACACAAGCTGTAGCTCCTCAGAGATTGGAGGAAGGCAGATGAGGCCCGCTGGGGAGCTGTTAAGACTGTTGGCCTCTTTATTAGGAGGCATGGTGTTTTCTGATTTGTGCCCGTCAGAGATAGCTGTAATAAGAGAAACAGTTTGGTCACTGGGGCTCCTCTTTAGTACACTGCCCAATTTCTACCATATAAACTGTTGGACACCAAATCAGTCAACTATATTTGTACCAAATTATATTGCTTTTGAAGTGCTTTAACCATTTCTTATTTAATTTTTGTAACCTTGGGAAGTCATTAGAGCCTAATACAATTCCCACTTTACATATGAACAGAAGTTAAATTACCCAAGTCACATGACTAATGAGTGCTACCACCAAAAATCTGTCTTTAGCAATTAAAAAGGAAAAGACCCTAGTACAGCCTTTACTTTCTAATTCAACTTCACTTCTGGAAGTTACCTCCCAACTCTTACCCTTTAAGTTCATGGAACAGTAGTAGTTCCTCTGTCCAGCCCCCTGACCCATTTTCTCTTCTTTTTAACTCGATGGTAAAGCATTGGGGAAGGGGAATAATAGTACCTTTAAACCCTAAACCCATCTCTCTGCATGAAAGATAGGTCATAGCTCTGGGATAAATAGGGCTCACTTCCCCTGGGTTTTGGTCACGTGAGGATGAAGAGAGGGGAATGTTTCCTCCCCCAAGTCAGCATCTGAACAAAGGTTATCCCCTCCCCCAGCCTTTGTCTCTTCCAGCTGCTCAGTCTCTCTCTAGGGAGCCCAGAAAGCTCCCTCAGACTTTAACAGCCCCCTCCACACAGGGCCAAATGACTGCTGCTCTTATCTCTTCAGTCCAGATTTCTTCTCAGTCCAGGTGGACAGGTCAATTATAAATTATGGCCAGCTACTATAAGCTACCCAGCAGCACCACTGCTCCCAGAGCTCTGGGTATGGGTACTCTTGTTTCCTGAAATGCCTGCTCAAGTCATTTCCCCAAATAATTCTGTTGATAGAATTTTAACTCAGCTCCCTGTATGGGCATTAGAAGCCCTTTAGCATATATGTCAGCCTTTACTTTAAGAGGAATCTCATGTATTGTTTATGAGTATTACTTCTGACCTGGCAAGGATGAGACAGGATCCCTATTTAAATACTACAAGATGAACTGAGAAAATAAATCTCACACCCAGAAAGTTAAGAGATTGAGCAGTATAATATCAGGAATTTTATGAGATTAGAAAAATTCAGAGACATTTTAATATATGTCACCATTCCCTTTTAACAAGCAAATCTAACAAACTGAAGGTCTTGCAGAACCTAAAAGTAAGGGGAAGAGAACCATAGAAGGCAAATTGAAGTAGCATGGCACAGTGGGTAAAAATATGAATTCCTGAGGAAGGCAGACCTGTTGAGTTTGAATCCCAGCTCTGCCAATGACCAGCTATGTGATCTTGGGGTAAGTTACTAAATTTGTGTGACTCTCAATGACATTGTGTAAATAATGGAGACAATACGGAGTATATGATTACTGTTAGGTATTTTTACCAAGCACCTGCATGTGCTAGGTACTATGCATAAAACCTGAAACAAAATCCAATTATGTCAAGTTGATTCTGATTCATGGCACCCCATGTGTTAGGGGAGAATTGCTCCAAAGGGTTTTCTTGGTTGTAATCTTTAAGGAAGCAGATGCCAGGCCTTTTTTCCACGGTGCTGTTGTGTGGGTTTGATTCTGTGCAAACTGCACCACCCAGATACCTTGCACTTTGCATAGGCAGGGCATAAGGAGCTGTCTGGAGACCATGGCCTGATACTTTCTAGAGTGCTGTTTTTCTTATTTAACTGTTCTATGTCTTAGTTTCTCATCAGAAAAAAGGAGGTAATAATACTATCTAATGAGTTTGTCATGACTAAGTGAAAAGATGTACTTGACATTATGCCCAGAACAAAGTAAAGGCTCAATAAATAGCTTATCATCATTACTTCAGCTTCATAGAGTGATTTTGATATAAGATAAATACATCTAGACAAGTGGCACAAAAACTGAGTCCTTTAGAGTTAACTGTTTTCAATCTGTTTGCACAGAGCCCCAGTTCTAACTAGTAGTAGAGAAAAACAGCCTGTCTATGCTTTCTACTTGGATTTAGATACAATTTTAGAATGGATTTTATAGTTTAAAAAAATGTATGAAAACCAATGCTTTGGAAAGTTGATTCTATAATTTGGGGATAAATCCTGTTTGATTGCAGGGTGCATTGCCACTGTGGTAGTTTACCTTTCTCCTCCCAGGCTTATCCTTGACACAGCTGAATGGCCCGTGATGAATTGCTTGCAAGGCCTGGTGCTAAACGAACACTCAAGAAATTGTGGCCCAGCAGGAACATTACCAAATCCAAGCTGGAGAATACTTTATGATTACAACTGGACATCAACTTACCCTCACATAAACTGGTCCATAAGGAGATAACAATGTGTTAGATATGAGGAAAAAGTAGCATAAGGAATCAAGCTGTCCAGTGTGAGGACTGCCAGATAGGAACACCAGGCAGGCACAGCTAAAAGCCTATAGGGAGGCATTGTGCTTTAATTCATATGATGTATTTGATATCCTTTAGATTCTCATGGCATCAACTTGATATTTCAATGTAGCATGCAGTAATGCAATACACACCTACTCCTCAGTTACCAACTCTTCATTACCTTACATTTAGCATGTATGACAATAGTAAATAATCTACTGACTATTTTGCACATTAACATGTCTGGCAGTAAAATACGCCGAGGTGCAAGGTGAGAATAACGCTGGCTGTGATGATTAAAGTTGTGTGTCATCTTGGCTGGGCCCTGAATCTCAGGGATTTGGCAGTTATGTAATGATGCAGTCATCTTCCCTTTTGCGGTCTGATGTGGCCATTCTTCATTTTTGCATAGTGACCTAGTCTTTGGAACCTATGTTGTTAAGTGAGGAGTAGTTGTATTTGGTGTACTGTATACATTCACTATGTTCACTTATAGAAGACCCAAGTTGTGGAAGACTTCCTAAAACAGATGGGGCTGCTGTATAGCTGGTACCTCCCTAGAAGACTCTGGGTCTGAAATAGGAAGCTGCAATCAGAGAGTGGCTCATGGCAACTGTAACAAGTAGGGTAGACCCTATAGTAATCAAAACCACAGTGAGCTTACCACACTGTCTTATGTTCTCTTGCCTCCCTTTTGGATTAGGTGGAAAAAGAAGTGACTCAAAGCTGGAGAAGGGCTCCTAGGGCAGAGGTGACAGTGGTGGTATGTACTATGTATAATTTTGAAATATGTATCCTTAATAAGGATATAATCTTTAACAAAGGATACTATGCCAGATATGTCCTACTGCTACTTAAAGTCACTAATACAAAATACGGAGCCAGTGTAACACTGTTCTTTCCTCTTAGGCTTTCCACACCCCTAGGCAGATGGCAGAAAATGGGTGACCTTAAGTTTCTAGTCTAGGCGTTCTTTATATAATATGAGGAAAAAGAGGACTTCAGAACTTTAGGCTTGAGCCTAGGCTTACAGTTAAAGTAGGAGATGATCAAAGTGGAGCAGTAGATATGATACTCCTAAATTCCCTAAATATTTTTTCAGAGAACTTAAAAATTGCCTGAAATGTGTTCTGGTGATAGTTTTAAGAGCCTGAAAGAACTCAGTGATATTCAACATACATGTTCTTAACTTTTGGATCATGAACCTCTTTGAGAATCAGATAGAAGTTATGGACTCTCAGAAAGTTATGACTCCCTTTCCACAATTAAGCATTCATGTTTATACATTATATACAATCTCAGGAGGTTGGTTCACTGACTGCCAAGAGCCCAAGTTAAAAACCTCTTTGTGTCTTCCCATATTAAGGCAGTTATCAGCAATCACTTAAAGATGAATAGACATCTTGATGTGAATGAATGGAAAGAGTGGATGGCAGACTCAAAGGAGAATATGAGTAGGTATAAAAGGGATTAGTAGTATTAACTGGAGAGAGTGAAAGGCAGGGGTATTCAGCTAGACCAAGAGTCTGGTGACCCACTGGGATTACATAGGTGATACCCAGGGCGCACTGAATACTAGAGGCTAGTACACTTTCTCTACTACAACAAAATCTATTTCCTCAAGCTGCCTGCTTAGACTAGTTGTGTTCCAAACCTGCTTATGCCAGTAGTATTTCCTGTATTTCCATACTGTAATTAAACATCACATAAACCTATGAAAAAAGTTGCTGCATTAAAAATTGTTCCTATGAAAATTACATCAAATGCTTTGACTTAGACATGATGTGAAGGAGAATACATTTTTTAAATTGTTGAAGTGGGAGTGAGCAAGGCAACTGTAAAAGATTGCGGGCGATTTTAAGTCCACATACGGCACTCAGATTTCTTCCAAGTGTCTGAATTCTCATCCCATTTTAAAGAAACGGAAACTGGAAATCATAGATGATTGTGGTAGGCAGAGGCTCTCATCTCAGACTGTGCGTTAGAGTTACCTGGGACACTTAAAAAAGTATAAACCACCAGGCCCCCTTTCCCCATTTTGATTTAATTAGTTTGGACTGGGGCCCAGGCATCAGTAGATTTTAAAAGTTCTGGGTACAACCAGGTTTGAGAATAATTCTTGTAGTTTATACTAGAAAGACAACTGGGAACTCCAATCAGCAGACTTACACAAAGAAACCATCTTGGCACTATACCAAAATATTGGTGAAATGAATGTACTTCTAATATGTTTATGATATGTATGCGTTTTTTAAATTCCCAACTTCAACTGGTTTTGATTACTGCTATCTACCTATCCTAATCATGTAACATAAAAGGGTTTCCAATGTCCGGTGAGGCGGTTCACAGGATAAAAGATCTCCTGATTGCCACATTACCAAGTAGGTCTCATCTTGAGTCTTCTTTCAGTTTAAAAGTCTCAGATTAGGACGCAACACCAGGAACCTCTGAGGACTCGACTTCTTACTTTCCTGGCTGGTTTTCTGAGTATAGGTAGTTAGGGGGTCAGAAGGGGCAGTTTCTCGTTAACCCTTCACTCCCAAAGGTCACTGCTCCCCAGAAGGCCAGGTACGTGTGCTGAGGTCGTCAGGAAGTAGCCATTTGGGGGGGGGGGGAGGACGGAGGTTGTGTAGGCCTGGGAAGGAAACGTTTCTCCTGTCCTCCATTTCACAAACAGGCTACAAGGCTCCGAACTGGGTCAGAGAACAAAAAGTTGCTACACTTGGGGCAATGAACCCCAGAGAGCAGGCGAATCTCAATATTCCTCTCACCAAGGACGTCCCAACCCAGCCTCCCCCTCCTCCCTACAGACCCACTCACCCAACCCCAGGTAGAACAGGGAGCCACAAAGTCCAGAGGAGAAAGGAGGGCGCGCCGGCGGCTTCGAACCTAGAATTCTCCTCCTCCCAGCACGAAGATGGGGTTCCGAAGGTCCCGGACCATACAGGGGTTGGGAGGGGAAGTCAAAGGGGCTGGGGATCACTCACCGCGGTCCGGCCCGGGCGGCGGCTCCCAGCCTCGTACCATGGGCTGGGGGTAAAGGGTAAGAGGGGGGCAGGGGGCCTCCGGGGTGGGAATGAGGTTGCTGCCCCGCGCGGCGGCCTCCGAGCCCACCCGCACAGAGGGCCAGGACCGGGATTGACCCCCCCCCCCCCCCCCGAGAGCGCGCCCGTCTAGCCCGGCCCTGCTCGAGCGAGTTGGAGGCGGGGCGGATGGGTGGGACGGGCGCCCAGGGTGGCATGAGTTCTGATTGGTGGACGCAGGCAGGCGGTCACCGGCGGAACTCACTGGGTCGGCTATTGGCTGTACGGGTCTCGACTGAAATCGACTATTGGCTCCGTGAGCTTCCGCCGGCATGGGCTATTGGATACGTGAGGAAAGATGTCCCGTGGGGTCCACCCTCATTCTATCGGCCCCGAACCCTGGAAGTACACTGGCCAATGTACCCCTGAAATTCTGCAATGAGAGAATGGAGCACTTTGCTGAACTCTCCAGGCCGCCAACAACTGCCCAATTGTTCCCCCTGAGAGAAGCACTTCAGGAAGTCCTTTTTAATCATCTGTTCCCTAACCCTGGAGTCCCTGGATGGTGCAACCAGTTAGCGCACTCCCAGAAGTTTGGATGTTCAAGTTTACCAAGAGGCTCCTCGGAAGAAAGGCCTGATGATCTAGTTCCAAAAAAAATTAGCCACTGAAAACCCTATGGAGGACAGTATTCTGACATACATGGAGTATTTTGAGTCAGAATTGACTCCAGGGCTGCTAGTACTGGTCCCTAGCCCTACACACCTGCCGGTGACTTCCACAGCGGGAGCCAAATTGCCTCAAGCCGTCAACTCTACCAAAGCAATCTAAAGCAACAGGAAACTTGTTTTGGAGATAGATTTGAAGTCTTGCCACTCAGAAAGTTGAGGATCTTAGGATCCCTGTGCCTCCTGAGGCTTCCCCCAGAGAAGCTGGAACCGGACAAGTATTCCCAGAAACAGTGCCTGAGGGGTCATCTCATTGGGACCTACCCTCAGGCCCTTTTCCTTAACTTAGTAAAGACCTGGACCTCCGCCTCATATTTGGAGACCTTGGTTTTCACTGTCAAGAAAGGGATGACAATATAATGAGCTTTCTACCAAAGCAGTATCCCACACACTAGGAAGTTCTGGACCAGCAGTTTTTATATTTAGGATTATTTTATCTTCTAAATAATCTAATAACAATTCTAGTAGCTTTCTGTAGCATCTCCTCTGTTATGCTGGTCTTTGAAATAGTGTCTTCTTGTCTACTTAGGTCATCTAATTATGTAGCTACAGTAGTTTATAAAATAATTTCAGACTTTGCCCTATATCCTGCAGGCCTCACCACTCATCCCCAACCCAAGGGAGGAGGCAACATTTAACTCCTACTTCCCATTCTTCATTGGCCCACTTTAAGGTCTAGAGCTCTTTGAGGACTGCTAGACATCATAAACACATCTCTGTTTCAGTGCTGATCCCTATTTTCTGCCACTGACCTTGTATTTACCTCCCATCTCCCTCCTTATATTTAGTAACAATGTCCAGTCTTACAGACCAGTTGGATGTCTTTCAAAGTATTATCTGGCAAAACATCACAGGAGTAAACAACAGAAAGCACATATACTCAGCTTTAGGGTTAAAAACTTTTGATATCTCAAGTTAAGAGCCAGGTATGTTATATAGACCTTCTCCCAAATCATGACTATTACAATGGTCCAATGGTTTTTATCTAATGAAAGGAAAAATAAAACATTTTAGGCAGCGGCAACCCTCAGTTTCCAGTGGAGAGATTATTCCCTCATCATTCAAACAATTAGTAAAACTGGCATGACTGGAACTCAAGCTTGTGTGGCTGGAAAACTGTCAGGAACTAGCTGAGGGAATGATGCATCTGACCCTGCAGGGTTAAATGAGTCACTCTGGGCATCATTGGTTATGGTCTTGGAATTATGAAAGGTGGACAACTCAGCCACCTGTCTAGTCTCAGAAAGACACTCACTCCTGAGTCAAGAGTGGAGGCGGGGGCAGAACTGAAGACAGATTTAGGAGAATCCAAAGAATGGAGAAGAAACTCGCCTGTCCTAATCCTAGAGTACAAACTGAAGCCTCCCTCTTCTATGTATGATGAGAGGAGAGGAGAGCGGAGGGGAGGGGAGGGGAAGAGAGAAAGAAGTCCAAGTTGACTTTATCAGAGAGGGAAGGGTCCCATCATTAGAAAGACCATTACCCTCCCAGCTCTTCCAGGGACTAATGCTTAAGAATTGGGACTCATCATGTTATCCTCAAGGCAGAGATGTTAATCCTCCATTTTTGGTGACAACTTTACCTCTGGGGTAAAGAAGTTAAATTTATTCAAAGTAATTACTCCTAAGAGATAATGCTAAACCGTTGGACCTTCCTGAATAATTGAAGTATCTTTATTATCATCTAAGGAGCTCTGCTGGCTCACCGGTTAAGCCCTAGGTTGCTAAGCAAAAGGTCAGCAGTTCAAACCCACTAGCCACTCCACAGGAAAAAGAAACCATGGGGCAGTTCTATTCTGTCCTGTAGGGTCACTTTGAGGTGGAATCAACCTGACAGCGAGTTATTTATATTTTTGGTTTTTATCTAAGATGTGTGGGTTTGTACATATGAGTGGAAGACTGGCCAGGCCATAAAGACTACTGATCTCAGGGGCATGAGTCAATCAATCGTGCCTATGCAGTGAGGCTCCAATAAAGAATCTGGATATGGATGCACCATTGGCTTCCTGATTGGTGAAAGACACTGATGCAGTTGGGATGGCAGCATGCTTTTTGGGACACAAAAGCTCTGTTTGGAACCCTCCCAGACCTTGACCTTTGTGTCTCTTCATTTTTTTTTTTTTTGCAATAATAAAGCTGTGATACTAACACTTTCCATGAGTTGGGTGAGTTATTCCAGTGAATTATCAAACCTGAGGGAGTAGTGATGGCCAACAGGTCAGAAGTGGAGGTGGTTCTGGGAACTCCTAAGCTTACAACTGATGTCCTGAAGGGGTAGTAACAAAACCTCAAATTTGTAGTCTGCAGGTTAGAAGTGAGAGAGCCTAGGGGAGACACCCCAGCTTGTGGCTGGCATCCTCAAGGGGTAATGGGAAAATCTTGAATGTGGGGCCAGCAGGTCAGAAGTGAGGGTGGCATGTGGATTCCCAAACTTGTTGCTGGCATCTGGTCCTAGGCCTATGTGGCTGTCTGAAGGTCTGCGACCTTTAGCTTTTGAGATCTGACCAAACTTGGGGTGGTTAGAGTCAAAGGAAGAAGTGCTGCATGGGCAGGTGGTGTCAGAATTGAAAGAGAAGCGCAAAATGAGGATATGTTATATCGTCATAATTACTGTCAGGAAAAAGTGGGTATTTGATATTACATAGTTGAACATTCATCCACTCACTCCCTTTGTTTGACTCAGATATTAGCAGGACTGACCACAGGCACATTTTCCTGTAACTTAAACTGAATCCAGAGCCCTTCCTTGCACAAATCTCTTCCAAAGAACTGAAGAAGGCCCAGCAATGTGCTCACATTGTCATAAGTTTTTATAAAATTTGGAAAAATAATTTTTTTAACTGCAATTGGTTAAGATAGCTATCTCTTTCCTTTCTGACTTTTCTTCCATCATACCTCCTATTTTTTCAAGTGGCAATGGAGAGACCATGGGTGGATATTTTGAGATTACCTAAGGAAGATGAGTAGGGGACACATTTAGTTTAAGTTTAGTAGTTATGTCTATGTGGTTTGCAGTTACTTCTGTGAATAAATTGTCTTCATGGAGATACAGTTTCCAAGTTTACTCCTAATGTCATCAATTTAAAGGGTATGCAGTGAAATCTGTGAGAGCTGGAAGTTGATGGGACTGCCTTGTTTTTCTGAGTCTTGCAGTTTTCTGCCTTTGACGGGGTGAAGCCTTACCATTTTTCTATTGCTATTAGTGGAAAACATTTGAGTTTTCCTTCTCCAACAGGTTCCCAACTCACACAGGTTCCAGCTTTTGAATGTTTTACTGTGTAACATTGTTGGTGTTAGGTGCTATCAAGTCAATTCTGACTCCCAGTGACCCAGTGTACAACTGAATGAAACACTGCCTGATCCTACACCATCCTCACAATTGTTGATTTGTGTCAACCCATCTCATTCAGGGTCTTCCTCTTTTCTGCTGACCCTCTACTTTACCAAGCATGATGTCCTTCCCCAGGGACTGGTCCTTCCAGATATCACATCCAAAGTACATGAGACAGTCTTGCCAGCCTCACCTTTGAGGAGCATTCTGGCTGTCTGTACTTCTTCCAAGACAGACTTGTTTGTTCTTCTGGCAGTCTATGGAATATTTAATTTTTTTACTGACACCCTAATTCAAAGGCATCAATTCTTTATTTTTCCTTCTTCACTACCCAGGTTTCATAAGCAAATGAAATGATTGAAAAATACCATGGTTTAGGTAGATGCACTTTACTCCTCAAAGTCACATCTTTGCTTTTTACTTGCTCAATGCAATGTGTTGTTTGATTTCTTGACTGCTGTTTCCATGGACACTGATTGTGGATCCAAGTAAAATGAAATCTTGACAACTTCAACATTTTCTCCGTTTATCATGACATTGCTTATTGGTCCAGTTGTGAAGATTTTTGTTTTATATTGAGGTATAATCCATACTGAAGGCTGCAGTCTTTGATCTTCACCAATAAGTGCATCAAGTCTTCGCTTCCAGCAGCAAGTTTGTGTCATCTGCATACAGCAGGTTGTTAATGGGTCTTCCTGCAATCCTGATTTTTCACATAGTCCAGCTTCTCAGATTATTTATTCAGCATATAGGCTGTGATAGTTGGAGCTGTATGTCAACTTCGCTGGACCACAATTCTGTGTGGTTTAAGCTGTTGTGATGTGGTTATTCCCATGATAGGATCAGATGGTTATGTTTTGAGCAGGCAATCTGTTGAAAGGGAGTTTCCCTAGGGGTGTGGCCTGCTTCCAGTATTTCTGTGGACATTCTGGGAAAAGAGACACTATTC